AATCAGGAGACGTAATCATAAATTTTCGGTAGATTTGAATCGACTAAAATGCAAACTTCAATATCTTAACACAAGGGGAAATGGACTTACACTACTTTCATAGTAAACGATCTACGTGTGAAATGAATAGTTTTTATGTAATTTGGTTTAGACAGTTGGTTAGACTTTTGATCTGTGACTCCCTTGAAATGTCGAGAAATACATGTATAAAGTGTTTACCACTTATAGGCTAGCTAATGAACAGCGCGGACAGGAGAAAACAGAAACTGAAGACCAAGCATGTACAAGAACCCCAACCGTATTTTTTCACCTAAAATTCTAATTATGTAATATACACATCAATTTATGTAATTTCAATGACTTAAAGAAGGCGAGAAAATATTCAATAAATTAACATCTACGACTGGATCTGCAATCTGTCTCCTCGGATAATGAATTCGTATTATAAAATATAATTGCATCTTATCTGTATATACTAATTAAGCAAGTGACATTCTACTTCTATTCAGATGTGATTTGTCTACTTAGTAGACAAATCACATCTGAAGATACTATATATATGAATGTGTGAGTGTGTGTGTGATTTCACGCACAATAGCAGACAAATTATGCTCAAACCATAATCATAATATGTACACGACGATGATAACTTTACAAAAAAGTCACAAAAACAAAATAAATAAATTTAGTATTATTTTAATTTTGTTTATATTTCTTCACTCCACCAAACCGACATTTTGTTTCTCTTTATATAATAGAAATAGGAATAATAAAATTACAAATAAATATCCTGCGACTGTGAAGCAGAAAACTATAATTTTAAGTGGTTTCATGAGCTTATCGACTATTTCGTCGATATTACTATCAGGTTTCTTTGTTACGTAGTCATAGTAATCTGATTCCTGCGTGTAATCTTGTCCATGTCCCGTGGGCAGTTCTGTTCGATTATCCACTGTCAGGATTTTTCCACATTTCTCCTTATTGTAAGTGGATGGCTGAAACAGTTTCAGTGTTTTTATATCTCGCATTTTAATACTAGAAATCTCTAATTTAATCTGAAATTATCGTTACCCAGATCAGTTTTGAAGGCAGAGTTGCCTGATCATCCTCTTTGTCGTCGTTGAAATTCCCACACAATCCACAAACTTTCGCTTTCCGTTCTTGGTTTATAAATATTTTAACCTTCGTAGATGAGTACCAAATGAAGGTGACGTACGATTTAGTCGAAATTGTTAAAGAATTATCCAATTTATCTCTGATAATTCGTATGTTAGTATTTATGGCGTATGGAATTTCTATTCTTTCGTCGTCAATGATACATGTGCCCTCTGCGGTGATCCTCAACTTTGCACAATTAGCAATAATGATGAAATCGTTTTGTGTGGTGTTACTTCCCGATTTTTCGTATCTAATGCTGAACTGTCCTTCAAAGCAATCGTGTAGAAGCGCATACTGGCACATTCCTTTGTGAGTAAATGATACCAAATCGAATGTCACGAACTTGTTATTGTTGATACCACAGTAGCGTGAATCTAAATTGGCGTGTCATTATCCGTTATAAAATAAATATAAAATAAAAAAAATAAGTACAGTGATGTCACTTAAACAGTTTAACTAAGATACTGAAAACTAAGATAATTCCTATACATCGGAAGTATATTCGAATTTCTAACGAAAACTCAAGCTAATTCCATAAAATATTGCTGAAAATTTAAATTATAGAATCAGTTGCTCCAAACTAACATTTAAATTTGCTGCTTAAAGAAACTGTAAACTTATTGTATCTTCTGTTACTAACAGAACTTAGTGTAAAATTCTTTAGAGTGGCATCACTGATTACATATAATAATATTGATCATTACTTGAGATACACATGGCACAGCATGTCCCGGGTTCTNCGGTCGGCTAGTACTACGCGCCGCTTTCCTTTGCCTTTATCGTTCTCTTCGGTGAACACTTGTAATTTCATCCAATCTCTGCATCTATTACACTTTTTTGATTTACGAAGAAGACTTTTATCTTGTAAACACTCGATACACGTTTCCTTACCTTTGACAACTTCTAATGCTAGCTTAAGGAAGTTCATTTTCAAAATCGCTGAGTAAAAAATACAAAATTAAACAGACGACAGCGTAATTGGAAGCACGTTACCTCGCGGTAAAAATGTGCAAACCAAACTAGTTAAATAAATAAATAACTTAACCTAAAGTTATTTAACTAAGTTAACTAACTTAAATAACCTAACTTAATTATATAAATAAAATTAAATTAAAATAAATAAATAACCTAAATAGAAAAAAAAAATAAAAGTAAGCAGACGACACCGTAGTTGCTGATAAGTCTGCAAACCATTAAAAAAAAGCATTGTGAAAGGCAAGAAATTGTAAATATGATAACTTTTGGGTACCGTTGAATAATAATAATAATTTAAAAGACAGATGAACCAGATCAGATAGCAATGTGTAAGACGTTTTGTCACAAGTACGTAAAATATTTAAACGACATCCAATCCGCATCCGCATATACATTAATTAAAAATAATGTTGCCAACTCAAAATTCAAATTTACAGCTAGGCATTTTAATAATAACAACCAAATCATTTTGTTTCCATTAGAATTGTTTGATTTTTTTAGCTAGATTGTTCATAAATCTACTAAATGTATAAAAAATAGCTGAATTGGCAACTCATTAAAAGAAAAAAACAGTTTCGTTGCCGCCATTTTGATTTCGGTTTCGGTGTAAAGGCCAGAGTTTTAATAATTATTTTTAATAATTTTTATTTATTATTTACTTAATTTTGCATTAAACTTCGTCTTTGCATAAAATTTTCTTAATGCAGACAAAATTTATTTATTTTAACCCTTAATTACAATTCTTATAATTATTGCAAATCATATCACAAACCATCTTTCTCACTTTTATAGCAAATTTTAATTAAACAAACCAATGTTTTCAGCCAAGCTTGATAATCTTGCAAAAGATTATCAAGCTTGGCTGAAAACATTGGCCGTCTCATTGATTATCAGTTACAAAAATTATTAACAACATATGTACAATAAATGTAAAAAATGTAAAATTAAAAGATAGTCTATATATTAAAATAGTAAGAGCTTTTTTTTGCTTGTAACACAAACTTTTTGGTGGGGGTCGATGTGAGGTGTTGTAGGGGGTCGACGATCAAAAAAGTTTGGCGACCCCTGGTCTAGACTATTCCTCAAGTTTCTATAAAAAAAATTTCTGTTCATTCCTTTTTTTCTCTAATAATTAAATTATTTTACGTTTTCTATTTTAGTTCCGGACAATTCCAGAACCTCACACTTGTATTCCTATGACATCATAGTATTACGAAAATTGGGATTCTTAAAACTTATAAAATAAAATAAATACAGAAATAAACAACAAACGAAATTACAATTATACGTTATTAAAATATAGAAGTTCAGCGCAGAGAATCGTAACTACAAATCTCTTTCTTTTGCAACATAACTATAAAAATTGTTTTGGTGTTGTTTCGCACAAAAAATAATCAAATTTATTTTAATTTTTTAGTAATGTAATTATTTTTTTTTAAATTTACAGCTTTTTAATTTTTAAATTTTAATTATAAGCAAGTTAACATTGGTTAAACTATCGGATTACCTGTTGATTTTCGAAAATATAACTACAGAATATTTATTACAAGCATGATCAATCTTGCCAGTTTTTAAGCCCTAAATTTGCCAAAATCAGTGATATTTGTTACCCAATGTCATTTCAGTTAACTAATTATTAAACTATGTATCGAAGTTGCGGAAAAAAACGGAAGAGAGAGGGAAAATATGCTTGCAGTACAGTACATTCAAGGAAAATCGTAACAACAAATATAAAAAGCTTGTGCCAACAACAAGTCAGCGCCAGTATTTTACTGTAAACGTCGGGTAACTATTTATAATTTTTTATGTTTTAAACTGAAAAACGATTAAATTACAGATTTTTACTGATCTGTTTAGCTATTTTGAAGTGAACATTCTAATAAATTACGATTTCAACTTTTAAAAGTTTGCAAACAAATTTTTAATTAGTTATTTTTTATTCTAATAAACAATTTCATTTTTTTATAATCGCTGAATTACTAAAATTAAAAATTAAACACTATTACATAAAAGTAGTTTATCCTGTTATTAATTAACTCCCTTGCTACCCACTAATTTTTAATATTAATGTAATTAAACATAAAAAATATTTAAAACTGGGAAAAAAACGAAAGAAATGCGTTAATTTTGAAGAAAAAGCTTCAAACTTTATTTTCCATTGTCTCGCCTTTCTGTGAAATCTGACACCGATGAGTCATTGTGTTTACAGCTGGATGACCTGGAGAACAGCTGGTGTTGGGATTTCCCGGGACATTCTCATAGAAGTCTCGGGAGGAGAAGGGTTTAAAGTAGAGTGAATACTAGCTGGCCGTATATTTTTAAATATTTTTCAAAAATTACGTTTTTTTATTGCGATTTCCGACCCCCCGACTTAATTAAACGTATATATAATAAAATATATTAATTTAAAAAAATTAAAAAACTATTGGAGGTCGTTTTTGACATCAGAAACTAGCTTTAAATAACTTTATCGAAGTAAAATCCGTGCACTACTACTTTAGAACGATGAATGAAATTTGATAAAAAAAACTCCCATTAAAAAACAATTAAGAGTTAATCGTGCGTCATTAAAGGTATATTAAAATCGCGATAAAATATTTTCGCGCGGGAAAAAATTTTTGAAAAAATTTGGAGACTTAAAAAACATCCAAAAAAAACAAAAATTTTTTCGGAGGGCCCAAATGCCCGAGTTTTATATAACGCTATGGAACTTTCCCGAGTTATCTCGGGTTTTAAAGATTGCAGCATTACTTCTTGCCGCCTGCGTATGGCTATGATTGGTCATCTATATTCAGCAAACCAAATCAACAACGCAGTTAAGGAGACAAATTCCCTGACTTTTTGACAATTTTTGACAAATTCCCTGACTTTTTGACAATTTTCGACAAATTTCCTGACTTTTTCCAAACACTAATGAAAATCCCTGACTTTCCAGGTGCGTAGGAACCCTGTATGTAACAACGCAACCTAAAGAAAATTCCGGTTGTAATACCGACGGATGAGGGGCCTTATGCGAGACGCGTATCGGCCTAAGGAAGATTAATAAAGATGATGTAAAATGCCTTGTGTCTATTAATGCACCCAGTAGTAAAAAAAAAACGAATTTGTATTATTTAATATGCCTAGTGTCTTATCTGTATATTATACAAGTGACTTTCTCCTAGTTATATGTGATCTTCATGATCATTTGTATACTATATATGTATGTATGTATGTATGTATGTATGTGTGGGTGTGTGTTATTTCACGCACAATAGTAGACGTATCATGCAAGAACCACATAATCATATGTGCACCACGATGATAACTTTACAAAAAAGTCACAAAAAAAGAAGAAATAAATTTAGTATTATTTTAATTTTGTTTAGCCCTATATTTCTTCACTCTATCAAATCGACATTTTGTTTCTCTTTATATAATAAAAATAGAAATAATAAAATTACAAATAAATATCCTGCGACTGTGAAGCAGAAAACTATAATTTTAAGTGGTTTCATGAGCTTATCGACAACTTCGTCGATATTACTATCAGGTTTCTTTGTTACGTAGTCATAGTAATCTGATTCCTGCGTGTAATCTTGTCCATGTCCCGTGGGCAGTTCTGTTCGATTATCCACTGTCAGGATTTTTCCACATTTCTCCTTATTGTAAGTGGATGGCTAAAACAGTTTCAGTGTTTTTATATCTCGCATTTTAATACTAGAAATCTCTAATTTAATCTGAAATTAATCGTTACCCAGATCAGTTTTGAAGGTAGAGTTGCGCGATCATCCTCTTTGACGTCGTTAAAATTCCCACACAATCCACAAACTTTCGCTTTCCGTTCTTGGTTTATAAATATTTTAACCTTCGTAGATGAGTACCAAATGAAGGTGACGTACGATTTAGTCGAAATTGTTAAAGAATTATCCAATTTATCTCTGATAATTCGTATGTTAGTATTTATGGCGTATGGAATTTCTATTCTTTCGTCGTCAATGATACATGTGCCCTCTGCGGTGATCCTCAACTTTGCACAATTAGCAATAATGATGAAATCGTTTTGTGTGGTGTTACTTCCCGATTTTTCGTATCTAATGCTGAACTGTCCTTCAAAGCAATCGTGTAGAAGCGCATACTGGCACATTCCTTTGTGAGTAAATGACACCAAATCGAATGTTACGAACTTGTTATTGTTGATACCACAGTAGCGTGAATCTAAAATGGCATGTCATTATCCGTTATAAAATAAATATATAATAAAAAAATAAGTACAGTGATGTCCCTCAAACAGTTTTCACTAGTTAGAAAATACTGAAAACTAAGATAATTGCTATACATCGGGAGTATATTCGAATTTCTAACGAAAACTCAAGCTAATTCCATAAAATATTGCTGAAAACTTAACTTATAGAATCAGTTGTTGCAAACAAACATAATTAAATTTGCTGCTTAAAGAAACTATATATTTATTATATCTTCTGTTACTAACAGAACTTAGTGTAAAATTTTTTAGAGTGACATCACTGTTTACATATAATAATATTGATCATTACTTGAGATACACATGGCACAGCATGTCCCGGGTTCTTGTATCCTTAATTCATTCTTGAATACATATCAATGTTTTTAAACAAATTATCATGAGTTTCAAAATCATTTTTAATTAAAGACAAACTTACTTTGCGACAATTCAATGTCGGACAAGATGTATTGAAACATTTTATAACGGTTAAGTTACATCGACACCTTTGGCATTTTTCACTCCATGTATCTCCATTCTAATTTAATAAATAAATAGCAATCAAGATAAAATCGTCTTAAAGTACTTAAAAAGCTTACTTACCGCATAAATCCTATTTCCTATCACGCATCTTTCTGTTTCTGCATGGAATTTAATTAATGCAATTCAAATTAATTCGTATTTACGTGACATAATTGTCGATAAAATGTACCGTACCTGTGCACGTTTTTTCATCACTTAATAACTTCATCTTCGGTGGACACGTACAAGTCACGTTCCCAAATGAACTTTTGCAGGAATGACTGCATCCTCCATTATTTATTAAGCATTTGTTTTCATCTAAAAAAAAGAACATACAATGTTTTATTACATCTTCCAATATTCTGTGTATTTTCTATAAAATAAATTAATTTATTACAGTATTGGCAAAACTTTCCATAGAAACCTTTGCGACATTCGCACAGTTTTCCATTTGTACATTTTCCATGTAAACATAAAAACGAAATACACGAATCCAAATGCCTTAAACATGTTTCATCTGAAAGCGTACATAAATTTCACAATTAGTTTCGCAATAAATTTTCAATCGATACAGCTTATGTATAGTATGTGCTGTACACGTTCAACGTTTATCAATTTCCACAAGGTTTATTCGGTAGGATTTTGTATTAGTGGTGTCGTGAAAATTATAATCTTTATCTGTCATTTCTGCCGATACGACGACACAGATTATCGTCGCTACGAACGTTTATATAATCCTCGTTGTCGTAAGCATAACAGTTATGATGTAAGGTATTTAACATAGTTAAGCAGAAATTATCACATCGTTACATTCAACGCAATTACCTACGGGTTGTCATTACAGTTGGGGATTCCAAATACACTGACATTTTTTATTGCTAGTAACCGATTACCGGTAAATTGTAAACTGGTAACCAGTAATAAAACACGGTAAACATTGCCGTTTACACGTAAATTGTCGTTAATTTCGAAAATTAAAGTATTAGTAATTGCTCAGTTTCCAACTTTCGGTGAATCGCAACTAATAATTTACTGTGCTCTGTCCAATTCAATTCTCTTTTGAAAAGGAACGTTTTCATTGAGTGAAAGATAGCAACTAAAAGAATGCAGCATGCTTTATGATTAAAAAGTATCAAGTTCGAGCGCTGGCATTCAAATAAATGTGTTCCATTTTGTCAACGAAAATTCTGCTCGACTAAAATTGTTAAAAGGAAAGCTCGTCCCTCAATGTACGATTGTAGATGTGTACCACGTGCTTCTGTGTGGCACGTCCCAATCCCTGAATTGTTCGGTTTATTTTTACAAATCACACGACTCCATTCCTAACTTCCACTGTCATTCAATACTTAAACCGAACACAATTACAAATTGTAATCCTTTTTAAAACTTAGAAGAAAATCTTGTAAGTTTTCTCGAGTGCCTGACCACGGTTCCTCTCATGCAGCTTCCTAGTACAAATTACAGATTATCATCAGATCCATTTAAGTAATTAAGGAGTTAAACATAGACGTAATGATAATTATAATAAGACTAAAAGTACTAATCAGGTAAAATACAGTAATTTTTTGCTGTGCGAATTTCATTCTGTAAGCAGTTAAATAAGACACTGCGCAATTCTTTAGTAGCTGCTATGTCTACACTATTACAATAATTCTAGCTATACATTCTCACTCCCATAAACAAACTAACGATACCGTGTTTTTTCACCTTATCATAAACACTTCCAAAGTAGCATAATTCTTTCACAACCTTCAATAATTTCAATAAGTTTCTGTTTCGTCAGTTATTAAAGTTAAACAACATTTGAAAACATTGAACAATGTTTAATAAATAAGCGAATACCGAAAATATAAATCTTATTGTGTACATCATAAAGTATCAAAACAAATGACTCAAAAACACATCTATATTTTGAAAAAAATCACTTACATTCCGCCAAATTTTGTTTGTAACAATAACATTCGGTTGTATTGCAAAGTTTTCCTGTTAAAATAAAATTAAATAAACACCACAGAAATAATTTTTCAATGTCTATAGTTCGAACAGTAATTTCACTCACCTTTACATAGATCCACATACTGTTCTATGCCTACATCCCCGTAAACATTTGACTGAACGGCATCCCACGAAAGGACATTGCCCTTTAGTCCACATCGCTTTTTCCGTACAAAATCTTTTGGAAGCATTGTGTCCCATATATTTACCTAGAAGATCCAAAAATTACTTTTGTGAAATGATTTACACCCATCAATAATCGCGATACATTATCCTTAATTCATAAACAACGCCATTATATATTTGTCGTAAAGAAACTAAATAAGAACCAGCAATTATTTGAAATTAGGCGAAGAATATAGAGTTAAGAAGAATGCTGAAAGGCGACAATAACTCACTTCTCCTAAGAAATGAGTAATTTTATGAGAAATTATGAATGGAACAATATCTCTCAGAAATATTGCAGCAAAACACGAATATGGAGTAAGCTCGGCGACAGTTTGGAACGTAATTCGTTCTGTCAATGATCTAGAATATGGAAAAAAAAAGCCGGAATCAACTCTTACAGATATACACAGGCTGCCAGACTGAGTTGGGACAGAAATCACACGACCTAGAAGAAACGGTGGAGGAATATAGTGTGGACAGATAAGAAAAGTTCGATGTAGATGGGCGTAATAGTTGCTAATACTATTAGTGTGATTTAAGAAAGGAGAGGGAAGTGTACGCCAAAGCACAAATTTGAAAAACGAATATTGCCTCTCCTGAAAGAAGGCAGAATGCTAAAGGATACACACAACAGATAGAAAGACATCTACTTCCGTCTGGTGAAAGACTAGTGGTCATCAGTGGCAGTTCCAGCAACATGACGCTCCCATTCATACCACCAACATTATCTGGGAATGGTATCTGCCAACGGGGTTCAAATCATGCACTGGACATTCACATTATCAGTTTGAACCCTTAGAGAATGTCTGGAGCCTTCTGGTGATAACGCAGACCCAAAACTGCTATTATTAAGAAATAGGAGGAAATTCCTCGTGATGTTCTTCAAAAGTTGAGCGAGTGGATCATAAAGTTTTCAAAGTAATCGCATACAAAAAAAACATTCTTCTTTTTAGCATTCATAAAAAACCTCGGAAATATCATTCTCTCTCCATTATTCGTAAGTGATATTATACTTATTAAACACTTCAAAAAATTCATTTCTTAAAAAAGAATTTTCTATTCATATATTATTTCATTCACTAGTACAATGTGAATTTCTTTAATAGGACTTATTAAACTGTTATTTAAGATTACTGCAATTCAGTCACACAGATTAAAATTGTTTTATTTACATTTACCTGTTACACACTGTACTGGTAAATGAAATAATATTTGAATAAATTAAGAACATTGAGGCATATTAATTTAATTTGAAATTTTCTATTGTTTATATCAGAACTTGATGCTTTGAATTAAACGTACTTACATTAAGAAACAATTCTTGTCGGGAAGTAAAATCTATTGATATTTCAAATCTCAATAGGTTTACAATATAAATTTTTTGTTTATTTAAACAATAATATAATAACAATATTACCTGCGATATTGCTCCCACGAATGGTTCTGACTCTCCTCTACCAATTAGATTTTGACCGAGAGCCAAACTGCTGTTTAACTTAGTAATTCGTTTCGATTGGAATGTTTTGTCTTTCGTCACTTCAGTTCCATCCCAATAAACGTATATTTTACCGATCATTCCATCCCACATCAGAACGAAAGAGTGCCAAAAATCACTACAAAAAATACATTCATTCAGATTAGTGATTATGTAAATTAATTAAATACAGAAATTTAGATTATAAAATAATCTCAAATTTAATCTTAATATGATCCCATTCTACGTTGTAACGACAGAATGGAAACAAAAAATAGAACAGTATAGAGCGTTAATAACGAGGTTTGTTTGCAAATTGCATATTTCTCATAAGTACTGCATTAACGCCTGAATATAACCATCACAACCAGAAACCTCCTCCGGATAGGAGCTTAAAATTATCAATATAAAACCACACTGCGCCTTCCTTCCACACAACGAAAGGCCATGTATTCACAAACGTGTCTGTCAAAAAGTTGTTCAACTACATTCTGCCGGTTCGTTAGTATAATAATTTTAAGTATAATTCAATGAGTTAAACGTTGAAAAAATAGATTTTAGGTACGCTCCAAAGTCTTCAGAGTTGAAACAGATACAGTGAATGTGATTTGATGAAAGACTTGATGACGAAGCTTATTGCGATCTTTATATTCAACGATTCTGAAATCCCATAAAACTAGATATAAATCATTTCACGAAGAACGACGACTTCATAGCACAAGCGCATAAAATGGGACGATAACCTGAATCGTGCCATTTTAAGCACAGACCCATGGCGCACCACAGGAGACAAAGTCCCTGTAACCCACGAAGTAAAAGGGGAAAAAAACACCAGTAAATTTTCAAAAAATCTTTTCATAATTAAAATTCATTTTATTTTATTTATTTCGTGTCGTGTCTTCTATTTCTATTATTATTTATAAATTTAATTGTAGAACACATGTTGAAATTTTACTGAATTCGATATTTCTTTCATCCGTTCAACTCAGCTTCCTTCAAAATGAAAACCCACTGCGATTCCGCATTGCCAATCCGCATAGTGCGGACTCATCTTAAAGCCTCTATAGAAAGTAAGTAGGGGGACCCCAAATCAGAACCGTAACAAACAGTTTTTGCATCCGAAGGTGGTAACAGAATTACCACCTGTTACCTCCCTTTTTTTAACTCTTTCCATTCTGTGGGTATTAAGAGGGCCTCTTTTAGCCAGTTCATTATGAGCTCGGTCAGGGCGACAGTGGACTGTTGAGGGACGAGATACTGACATATCCAGACGGTTTCGATCCCGGGCTCCCAGAACGATAGGATGCCACCTCGACCATTCGGCCATCCGCCCACCTGGCGCTCCATATAACATTAATTACATAAAATTCTACTGGTTCATCTCAACACATTCACGTTGGCCCGCCTTTAATAACGCCGCTGCCTGGAAGGGACTTATAATTCATTCGTTCTTACTATTGCATTAACAGTACGAGTACAATGTTAAATCGATCATAATACTTACTAAATTATATACATATTGAATATATAAATTGATATGTGCGTCTTAATAATTTATTGTATGTATATGATTGCAATAAGTATTGTGTTCTAACATCATAGACATTGAGTATATGCTTTTATATATAAACATAGTATATTAAAAGAGATACCTCTCTGCGTAAGTTATAGTAAAAATCCTTTTGAATGCTACCAATCTCACGTATGGAAAGTCACTGAGAGCAAATCCTTCAGGTACATAAGAATATTTATCTTCGAATTTCAATGAGAAAATTGTTCCTCGGTTCTCCGAAATGCCAGAATTTGGAAATTTGACGAACAAAGACATCGTCATTTCACTTAATGGAGGAATGTCTCTTATCTTCACTGAATAATTCGATTTTGGTTCGAATTTCAACGCGTACAACATTTTCCTTTCTGAAATTTTAAGTATTTAAATTAAATAATAAATTTCTATTTATAACATACAGTAAAACGGAAATAATAACAAGAGTTTGCTTAATTTAGCCTAACATTATCACGTTTATCGCGGTACTCGAATGGTATGAAGTGGCACACTTTCAATGGTCAAGTAGACAGCAATTGAAATACAATATCTTAAAAACTTTAAGATGTCATATTTTTTCCTAATGTTAACTTTAAAAAATTGTACTTTTCGCAGCCCAATATCAACGTGTAATCTGTCAAGGAATGAAATTTCATTATAAGATTACCGAATTAAACCACTTAAAATCATATTTTGTTCCCGCCGGTAACCTCGTATTATGTAATTTTTCTATTCGAACGTCACCATACTGCTGGTCCGACTAAATGAACGCATTGTTGCAAAAGGAGGTCGAAATAATTTCACGAAAAGTAGTCGTTAACCCCTCCTGATTGAGAGGATGGTCAACGACTTCTAATAAATACTGGTCTACTATTAATACTTCAAAAGTGCTTCGTGTTAGACAGGTAAAAGGTGTTAATATGCAAAATTAAATATTTATATTATTCACAGGGAAAATCTTTCGATTGCACTCAGGCAACTGCTATGTGTTACCTGTCGCAGTAATTATAAATCGCGTCTATTTCGCGGTATATCATTGTCGCAGTATTTGAGTGAATATAATATATATTTTTCAAAATTATATCCTTTTTTGTAAAAATTATATTTAGTTTGTTAATTTTTTGCCAATAGATGACCCTACGTGTAAATCTGTAAATCAAATATAAATAGAAATTAATTGATTCTACAGTAATCAAATAGACAGGATATTATTCAAGTTGGAAGGATTTGAATGCAACTGCTGATTTTCGTAGCAATTGGTCGAACGGCTTACGAGTGTATAACCAACAACCAACCAACCATCCGCATTTATATATGCAGATAATACCCGAATTACTTATTATTTGGAAGCTTTTAAATATATTTTCCGATTTTTTTTTTGCTCAAAATCCTAAAGTTGCCGTACTCAGTAGAACTAAATAATATTACAATTTTATAAATTATATTATTAATTGTTTTATTAAACTACATTTACATTTAATAAACTGTTATATTCGCTAAAAATATCTTTTGATACATTTTTAACTTTCAACCTGGCGACACAAAGAACACAGCCTAGTATGGTTTAAACCAGGAACACAATGGGCCAACTGAACTTAAGGTACGGAATTCGACAGATTCCCTAGATTTTTCGAAAGGTCCTGTTTCAATCCTGGATCTTCGAGAGCGATCAGCCGCTCCATAATCACTCGGTCATACAGCTATCATTTGACAGCTTTAAATAAATTTTTCAATTTCGTGTACTGTTACATTTAGTGTTGCTAACCAAATACTTTATAAATATTACATCTTAAAATTAATATAAAATAAATAACAATATTATATTATAATAATTCATTTCTTAATTAATCTTAAATGCTGTCAAAGAATATGGCTCACGTTTAGCGCAATTTTTTCCTGTATATTCCGGCTGACACTTGCATTCGTAGTGAGGAAAAGAAGGGNCTTAATATTGGATAAAAACACTTAAAACAGCCAGCGAAACAACTATTCAAAACAAGTCCGAACACGACACTAACGTTATGATTCCAACCAGATATAAAACTGATGCTTTTCATTTGTTGCTTAGCAAAGCCACGGGGCGTATTTTAAAAATTATCGGCAGCAATTGACTCACTGGGATGTTTTTTATTAATACATAAATGTGTAAGGGTCATTATCAGTTATGCATTTTTTTACTTTTGTCCTCCTGGAATCGTCCCAGGACCCACTGTGGCGTGCACTAGCTACTCGAGCTGTCAAAGTTTTTGTGTCCTTTTGTGAAAATTAAAATTTATATAAAAATGAATGTTATGACATTGATTAATAATAATAATAATAAAAAAAGATTGTTAATAATTAAAAAATGAAGTTCTTAAAACAAATTGTTCATTGGAATTCATTAAATCTTTATATTTTTTAATTTGTTCACATAAAGTATTTTATAAACAATAGTACATAATAATTAACTAATTAATAATCATATATTTTGGACCTNAATTAAACCAGGAACACAATGGGCCCGCTGAAGTTAAGGTACGGAATTCGACAGATTCCCTGGATTTTTCGAAAAGTCCTCATTCAATCCCGGACCCTCGAGAGCGATCAGCCGCTCCATGATCACTCGGTCATACAGCTATCATTTGACAGCTTTAAATAAATTTTTCAATTTCGTGTACTGTTACATTTAGTGTTGCTAACCAAATACTTTATAAATATTACATCTTAAAATTAATATAAAATAAATAACAATATTATATTATAATAATTCATTTCTTAATTAATCTTAAATGCTGTCAAAGAATATGGCTCACGTTTAGCGCAATTTTTTCCTGTATATTCCGGCTGACACTTGCATTCGTAGTGAGGAAAAGAAGGAATACAAATTCCGTCATTTAAACACGGATTCTTACGGCACTGATTATTTATTTCGCAACGTCTTCCGGCAAATCCCTTCAAACAAACACATTTTTCGCTTCTTCCAACAAGAATGCACGTTCCTCCGTTTTTACAATCATTTCGGAAACACGTTAATTTCTTCTCACAACGGTTCCCGGTATATCCAGGAGGACAACAACACGAATATTTCTAGAAATAAATGGTTATAATTAGTAACAACTGCTGTATTTATATACATTATAGTTCAGATGTGATATTCCATTAGTTTCCACAGAAAGATTACCTGTATTTTATCAATACAGGTTCCGGCATTTTGGCATTGGTGGAATTCACAATCGTCTATGTTTTCTTCACAGTATTCACCTCGAAATCCTGCTGTGCACAGACATTTGGGAATGCGTAATCTTGTACTCGTATAACATGTTCCACCATTTAAGCACTTGGCTATTAAAGAAATAATTCGTATATTACCATCAACCATTACGAATGTTTTAAAAATTGTGTAAATATATTCATACATTTCCTGCATGCGTTATATATTTCACAAAATTTTCCCGAAAATCCAGCTTTACAAACGCATCTGAAAGTTCCATTTTCTGAAGCACAGTATCCTTTGTTCCAGCATTTGAGAGGACAATTATTTACTGGCCTTGAGAACCTCCATATAGAGCAATTGCGCCCGCGAAATTGAGGCCTACATAGGCACTTATAACCTTCTAAAGTATCGCGACACGTTCCACCATTTTCACACTGGTTTTCTTTACAGACTAAAAATTCATGTAAACATGAGTAATCTTCTCTTATTAGTGTACAGATGAATCATTTATACTTACAATGCTTTAATTGATAAAACGTTTTAGACGAATCATACTTTCTGCCAGGATAGAAATTATTTTGATTCCATTCTTTAAGTGATCCATTAAAATAATTGGCATTTGATATTCTAAAGCTTTCGATATAATTTCTTATTAGATAAATGAATAGTGAAAGAAATGAACATTATGCCCTATTTATTACATGCAATACTTCACTAGTAACAATACATTTCGCATAATTAAACAGAAAACTCACTCTTTATCATCAATTTTCACGCATAATTTCCATAACTTCACCATGTTTCCTATATTATCTATACTTTTCAGCATGGGCATCACAGAATTNCTGTAACCCAAGGTTTCTGCTATCTGCATAATCCTTTTCATTTCTTTATTTCTGTCCATAATGTTATCGCAATATAGAAAAGCCCTTCTAACTAAGGCACGAAAAGCTGCTAATTTGTAACGAAATGGATCATTGGACTGCGCAGGAATGTAGAGTGGGCTATGCATTAGTTTAGTATACACACTAGTAGATAAATGCCCTTTCTTAAAGATGATATTAATATCCAAGAAGTGTATCACTACGGAACTTTTTTGCTCTAGCTTCAGGTTTAGGCCGTCTTTGTTATCGTTGATTCTTTCTATAAAATTACTGCTTTCTCGATTATTTTTCCATAGTATAAAGATATCGTCGACATATCTCTTTAAGTAAACAATATCATTTCTGAAGCTATGCACAACCTTTTCCTCAATTTTTCTTACCACCAATTCGCATAGAAGCCCCGATATTGGGCTTCCCATAGAAACTCCCCTGTTTTGTTTGTACGTTTGGCCTTCAAAGCCAAAGAAGGATTCACAACATACAAGGTTAGCCATCTCTAAAACTTCGTTCCTGTGGTGTATCAACTCTGGGTTTTCTTTAAACAAGAACGCCATTAACGTTTCCAAACAAGACTCAATTTTAATTGAAGGGTATAAACTCTCATAATCCAATACTGTTCCCACTTTCTCATTTATCAGAGCTATATCTTGCAACTCTTTAACTACTATTGCAGGATCTTGTGCTACCAGAACACTGCTATCCAGTAGGGAGGAGATATAACCATGCAACCTTTTTTCTAACCTTTTTTCATGCAATCTTATTTCTACGTTTCTGTTCAATGAAAATATTACGGTTTCTAACACAAAGGTTTGTGAGGTTTAGAATGGCCGAAGTCTCCCATATGTAATTTATGGACGGCCCCTTAGTGATATCGATTCGAAAGGGGCATCTACGACACGATACANCCATACATTTTGCATAATTAAAAAAAACTCACTCTTTGTCACCAATTTTCGCGCATAATTTCCATAACTTCAACATATTTCCGATATTTTCTATACTTTTCAGCATGGGCATCACAGAATTCGAATTCATCAACAAACTACATTTACCATTTCCTTTATATTCAATAGTAAAGTATAGAGATGTCGCAGTAAACATGGCGACAATCCTTGTGATATTACTATAAACCATTCTTTCCATCAATTTGCGTTGAAATTCATCATTTAAGGCTGATTCTTCCAGTGGTAATACTGCATTATCCTTATCGTAGGGCTCTAATGCATGCAAAACAAATCTGCTGTGTATCAGCGGATGTGCGAAATACAATACTAGTAGTAGATTACGAAAATAACTAAAATTCATTGTACTGATGTGCGTAAACACTAGTAATATTATAATTTATAAAAATAAACAATAGAAAATTATGTTCATAATTAAGTAATAATAATTACATTAATAACTGATTTTNTATGTAATTTATGGACGGCCCCTTAGTGATATCGATTCGAAAGGGGCATCTACGACACGATACACGGGAATACTGGTCAAAGAACAATTTGACAAATGCCAGTAGGACCAGTGACAAAATTAGCTTGTACGGTTAAAAATTTTATACGTAAAAGTACTGTATATTGAAACTTCCAAGCATTACTTATTAGTTGTATATTCAAATGTAAATACTTATTAATTCAAATATAACTGATGGTAAACGTATGTTTATTAACGCAACGCAACACTTGTGAGATCTTCCTAGGGGGTTCCTTCCGGGAGATATGAGTATTGATTGCACAAAGCTGTATTTTTAGAACGTTTACGTAATAAATACTTACGCAAGTCATTGCGTGAGTGAGTTGTATTTGCGAGCTTGCATTTATTTATGCAGTATAAATTAAATTAGATTAATTATTTATAATATGTTTTGTATACTAGTACTATCTATATATTAACAGGACTTATTATACTGGAAAATTATGGATGCAGATATTCAGTCTTACAGTTCAAAATAATGTTCTTTATTTAGTTCACCTGAACACATACACTTCAGACATGTGTTTCGGACTTGATCGTCCCTCCTCAGCAGGCCTTTAAACGACACTTTTTATAAATGAACAAATAAAAACATTTTTCGGTATAATTATCACTAAAAGTTAAACAAAGAACTTAAACATTTCCCGACAATAAATATTTAAAACTCTTACAACTTCTGTTTTTCCAAACTTCACTATATCTTCACTTAAAATTCCGATCCACAACAACCATACGATTTTACACATTCCTAATTTTTTAACATTAACATTAAAATTATTTTAAAACAATAAATTTAATTATTATCTATAGTATTTTTCCTATTACACTTACTTCTTTTGTTTTGTCTGTAACAACTTAATTTTATTTACCATACATTCGTATTTCCTCTTTTATACTTTCTCCTCACTCCTTTTTATAATGCTTAACCATGATTGGTGAATCTCTCTACCATTGTTGTTATTCATTTTGTCAGTTTGTCTAATTATATTTAAATGCTCATACAGTTGTCTTTTATAATTATTTTTTTCCTNATTCATTGTACTGATGTGCGTAAACACTAGTAATATTATAATTTATAAAAATAAACAATAGAAAATTATGTTCATAATTAAGTAATAATAATTACATTAATAACTGATTTTTCATTCTTGCAACTTTAAATACGTCAATAAATAATTTGCAAAACGATAAATCACTTTTCAATAGCGTTGAAAAGGTTGGATAAGTTTACGTAGGTAGTCCCAATGGCGGCACTTTCGGTCGTCACCTTGTTTGTGAAGGCGATGTTCACAAACAAGATGGCGACCGACTCACCTACTTACTTCACTGGCATTTAAAGAAATAATCTTTCACTCACCGTTGACGTATTTCTAATTCCTTTTCTCCGATTTATTCAGTAAGAAAACATGGTTCGGATGATTCTATCGTAACTTGGTTAACGTTTATATACGTGCACACAGTCATGGCGGCTCTTCCGGTGGCCATGTTGTTTGAGACTTGTGCCCGCTTAAACAACACGCCGACCGTCGAAAATTACCGATACGCGACTATTTTTAAATGTTTTTCTTAAATAAAAATATATAAGAAACGTAAATTTGCTACTCACTTTTTCCCCGAAGTTATATTTACTTTTCCTGTTGTTTTTTCCACGCTTGATGACTTGATCTTACTTTCATTTTAGAACATTCCTTGCTCTATTTTGACGATTTCACTTTATCTTTAGTAGACGTTTCTTCCTTTTCTTTCCTTTATCTTTGTCCATTTTTCTGTTTGCTTGATTCGGGGACAGTAGGGACGCCATGACGGTGCACGTAAGTAAACTTTATCCCGTAACTTGTCCTTTTATATGGTAGAAACATTGGGATACTATACATTACCACCTACGGAATTTCGGACTTTGAGTATATATCTGAACTCAGGGGGCCGAGACGAGTTCAACGATACTCTACTTTTGGACCGGAGACGAAAAATAAGAAAGTTATCAGCGATCGCGCGATGATCGGGACTCGCGTCGCTCTCTCCGCTAGGCCTATCGCGTGTTTAACAGGCAATCCGGCAAGTCGGTCGTATATACCTTCAACAGAGACAGATATTGATCGACGAGCACACTGATGATCGTCTGCAGTTGGATTTAAGACCTTTTCGCACGCCCCCCGCGCTCCTCGACCTCGGGGCCTATGGTCCCTCAGCCGCCGACACGCTCGCTATCGCTCGCGGTCGGCTAGTACTACGCGCCGCTTTCCTTTGCCTTTATCGTTCTCTTCGGTGAACACTTGTAATTTCATCCAATCTCTGCATCTATTACACTTTTATCTTGTAACCACTCGATACACGTTTCCTTACCTTTGTCTACTTCTAATGCTAGCTTAAGGAAGTTCATTTTCAAAATCGCTGCGTAAAAAATACAAAATTAAACAGACGACACTGTAATTGGAAGCACGCCACCTCGCGGTAAAAATGTGCAAACCAAACTAGTTAAATAAATAAATAACTTTAGATTAAGTTATTTAACTAAGTTAACTAACTTAAATAACCTAACTTAATTATATAAATAAAATTAAATTAAAATAAATAAATAACCTGAATAGAAAAAAAAGAAAAGTAAGCAGACGACACCGTAGTTGCTAATACTGCCATCTTGCGGTAAAGTCTGCAAACCATTAAAAAAAGCACTGTGAAAGGGAAGAAATTGTAAATATGATAACTTTTGGGTACCGTTGAACTCGTCTCGGTCTCCTCAGTTCAAATATATATTCAAAGTCCCGAAATTCCATAGGTGATAATCATTAGTACTGCCGAAACACATCCAAACAGTTGACGCTCAACGTGGATTCTATGCAAATTAAATGCCAAATAAACAAAAAAATAGTTCAAGAAATTTTCCCAAATTTACGTTTAAACATTACAACTGTTCTAGTACTGAATTGAAGTTAGAAAACTTGTCAACTAAAGACATTAACACCTAGATTAACTTTCAAAACACACATGTTGTGGAGATTCTGGAAATGCCGCCATTGGGACTATTTAGATAAACTTCTACCAAAGGTTGTTAGTTATTTATGCAATTAAAATTAAGTCCAAACCATTGGTAAAATTATCATTAATACAATGATACCGGTAAAAGTGACATTTAAGTGTCAACTAGAAATTAGCTATTTATTTCAAGTTCCCAATTCGTGTCATGTTGTCGTAGTCGAAGTGTAAATAAATAAAGTTTTTATGTCTACAGTCAAAGAATTCAACACTGTACAAACAGGACGGAAGTTTTCTTCGCAAATTTCTATACTTCTATTGAATATCCCAATTTATTATAATATTTTCGTACACTTTTTTTTTAATTTATTGTCTTTTTTCTGATTGTTTCTATATTATTCCAGACGTAAAATAAAATAACAAGTGAAATGCGATAGAATTGAGGGGAAGAGGAAAGGAAGAAGTGATCCATAGATGTGTCTGTATCTATTGAAGTTACTTATCAATATATATAAAATATATGGGAAGTGACCTCTTACTAATATAGTGTTACTATAATCTTTCTGTCTAACTTTTTGTAAAAAGGGGGTCTTCACTATGTGAATATGGTTACACTTAGCATATAGCATATAACAGCAGAGGTCAATCTACGGCCCACGTGTCAATTCCAGCTCCCGAAGTTCTGCACACACTATACAACTCGTTGCACAAATATCAAGCACAAAACCATAATCTGCACGTGTGCATCATGTTGCTATGTATACAAAAAAATAAAATATCGAAAGAAGGAAATATAAATTTAGAAAAGTTTTAACATTGATTACACTGCTTAAGATAATCGGCATAACACGTACAGTATTTCAGTGTTAACTAAGAAGTCACAATAAAAGAATAAAAAATATATTTAGTTAACTTAAATTTTAATTTTGTTTATATCGCTTCAGTCTACCAAATCGACATTTTGTTTCTCTTTATATAATAGAAATAGAAATAATAGAATTACAAGTAAAAATCCTGCAACTGTTACGCAGAAAACTATAACTTTAATGGGTTTCATGAGCTCGTCGATTACTTCGTCCATGTTTTTTCCTGGCTTCTTTGTTACGTAATCGTAATAATCTGATTCCCGAGTGTAGTCTTGTCCGTGTACCGCGGGCGTTTCTGTTTGATCATCCACTGTCAAGATTTTTCCACATTTCTCCTTATTGTAAGTGGATGGCTGAAACAGTTTCAGTGTTTTTATATCTCGCATTTTAATACTAGAAATCGCTAATTTAATCTGAAATTATCGTTACCCAGATCAATTTTGAAGGTAGAGTTGCCTGATCATCCTCTTTGTCGTCGTTGAAATTTCCACACAATCCACAAACTTTCGCTTTCCGTTTTTGGTTTATAAATATTTTAACCTTCGTAGATGAGTACCAAATGAAGGTGACGTACGATTTAGTCGAAATTGTTAAAGAATTATCCAAATTATCTCTGCTGATTCGTATGTTAGCATTTACGACGTATGGAAGTTCTATCCTTTCGTCGTCAATGATACATGCGCCCTCTGCGGTGATCCTCAACTTTGCACAATTAGCAATAATAATGAAATCGTTTTGTGTGGTGTTACTTCCCGACTTTTCGTATCTAACGCTGAATTGTCCTTCAAAGCAATCGTGTAGAAGCGCATACTGGCACATTCCTTTATGAGTGAATGTCGACAAATCGAATGTTTGAAATCTGTTATTCTCGATAACACAGTAGCGTGAATCTAAAATGGCGTGTCATTATCCGTTATAAAACAAATACAAAATACAATTAAGTACAGTGATGTCACTCAAACAGTTTCCACCAATTACGAGTTGCTGAGATAATTGATATAAACCAGAAATATACTGTATTAGAATTTCTCCGAAAAACTCAAGCTAATTACATAAAATATTGCTAAATTTAAGTCGATTTTATTGCTAATGGCTGAAAATTTAGATAATTATTCTGATGAAACTATAAATTTAATAATCATGTTCATAGTTAATAATATAACTTGGTGAAAAAATGGTTAAAATGGCATCACTTAATAGATACGATAAAACTGATCATTACTTGGGATACACTTGGCACAACATGTCCCGGGTTGATGTATCATTAATTCATTCTTAAAGATAAATGAATTTTTTTTAACAAATTATAATAAAAATTTTAAAATCATTTCTAAATACACTTACTCTACGACACGTTAATTTAGGACAAGGTATCTTGTAACATCGGATAATTGTCATAAAGCATCGACACATTTGGCATCCTTCTTCCCATTTATCTCCATTCTAATTTAATAAACAGTAATTAAAATAGAAAAATCATCTAAAATTCCTTAAAATGCTTATTTACCGTATAAATCCTATTTCCTGTAACGCATCTTTCTGTTTCTGCACGGAATTTAATTAATGCAATTCAAATTAATTCGTATTTACGTGTCAAAATTGTCAGTAAAATGTACTGTACCTGTGCACGTTTTTTCATCACTTAATAACTTCATCTTCGGTGGACACGTACAAGTNATTGAAGGTTTAACATTTAAAATCTATTGTTATTGAGAAAAACATTTATTATGTTTATACGTACTGTAAGTTATTTTAATGTTTTAATGGAAATAACTTTTTAGATTCTAAACTTTATGAAAAGATTTGGTAAAGAATCCCTGTGTTTGACATTTAGAAATTACTTTAACGTTACAAAAAAGTTTCCAATAAAAGTAAGTTTCGAAATTTATTTTACTTGTTTTGTTTTTAAAATTACAGTAATGATAACTGAATTCATCCTTTAAATATTACAGATGGGAAGTTCTCTACACTCCATATTTTCTGGTCTTTTGAATATAAAAGACTTTTCGTAGATAAAACTTAACAAACATGTTAAAAAGACCAAGGTGATGACAAGCTCATACAAAAAGACATGGCAAACATAGAACGTGTCCGAGATTTATTTTCTGTAAGTCATTAATTGACCGAGATGGAGAAGTAACACCTGAAATCAAGAGAATTACACTAGGACGAAGTGCGATGCTAAGCGTGGAAAAAATTTGCAGCAGCAAGGATATTCAGATGGTAATTAAATGCAAACTTGTCCAGGCTATTTTTCCCACGGTCACGTACGGTTGAGTTGGACTGCAAAGAGAACTAACAGAATAGATATATTCAAACTGTAGTGCTGGAGGAAGGACCTCCAAGTACCATGGATAGGGTGACTAACATGGAAGTTTTAGACTGCGTAAAGCCTGGCATGTCCTTAGAAGAAAGAAAATAACTCGGTTCTCTCATTTCTCTTGGCCATGTAATGAAGTCATAATCATTCAAAAAATACATGATGCAGTGGAAAGAGAAGTATTGGTCGCTAGCAAAAGTTTTCTGTTGGGTTGTTGCATGAGTTACTTTGGATTTCTTGTGGATGAATCTAAACTCCATTGCATTGTCTATATTTGTTTGGGTATAATTGGAAAAATAGTAAAGTTTGTAATAATCAACCAAGAAAAGAACTGTTGGGGCTTTCTAAAAACGAAACCACTACTGAAATTACGTTTTGCAGCAAAGTCTGAAAGCATCAATAACAAAAAAACACACTTAACTACAATTTAAATGGAATTTTGAAGGGGTACCCCCTGGAATTATGGTGAGACTAACCTGAGAACCTAGGATTCAAGTTATACCAGGGTGTCGAATCTAGAAAATGTCCGCAATGCTTCTAAGTATATGAATCATGATTAAATTATGCTACTTTCCAATTATGTATCTCTTTTATATCTTAGACACTGTTAATAAATTACTACACTTATTTCTAAATAGTCTACTTCTGTATACTTTAAAGTAACAGTGCTCCATGTCCATTCCTTGCTTTTTTTTTAACAATGGAATATTTAAAGTGGCGTAAAGTATCCTCTCTCTGAGGGTACTTTGCACCAATTTTTTGGTCTGTAAAAGAACAAAGTAAGAAAGTGCAATACTGAGATTTGGTTAATGTTTCAGTAGACATTTCAAAGTAAATCTATAATAAAACACATTTATAACCCCAATATAATAGATTGCAATGGCTTCCGAAAAAATAATCAGAAAAATTGTGCAAAGTATCGTCACATTCAACTTATTATAATGTCTTCATGGTAAATCCATGCACAACATTCTAGATACCGGTAATTGTAGAACTCCCCTAGTATTTGATGAAAATGATTTGACAAAATGTATAACAGCCTAGCTTTGGTGTGACACAGAGCTGGATACTGGTAGCTATTTAGATTACCAATGCCACAATTACACTTACTTTTTATTCCAATGTCAAGATAGTAAAGGGACCCTAACCTTAATATTACTAGACTTAGTGCAATGCACAAAATAATGGAGTTCGGCATGCTTCAGATGGTGGTAGGCTACATATTTGGTAATGGTAAAAATTAATACAACATGAAGTTAGTGAGATAACTTGGGTGTTTTTCAGAATAAACATTGAAATTAGCATCAAGGATATAATTATTAAATATTTTAAAAATGTAATTACAAGTCTATAGTACAGTACATTATTTGCTCCTTGAAAATTCCAATCAATTAANGTATCAAATTTTCAATGAATACAGCTTCTGTATGGTATGTACTGTACACGTTTTGACGTTTCAGTTTAAGATTATTTCAATGGGATTTTTGTATTACTGATGTTATGAGTATTTTAAACTTTTGCTCTTATTATGATAATAAAGTCTGTCATAATGTAGATTGTGATAAACGTGACATTCAATTATACTGCTTTATATTCAAAACAGTTAAGCAAAAACTAAAAATACATCATTACAACATGTAATGATGGCATTATCTTTCCAGCTGTAGATGTGTCTGCAACTAAATAATGACTAGTTCTCGGGTTTGAATAATTTCTATAAATTTATGTTTCCTCGGTTATTAAAGTTAAATAATTTTCTAAAATATTAAACAGTTTTTAATAAATAAGCTAATACTGAAAAAATGATACTTATCGTTGTCTACATCAAAACGTATCGAACAAAATGGCAAAAACATATTTAAATTTTGCAAAAAAATCGCTTACATTCGGTCAAATTTTGTTTGTAACAATAACATTCTGTTCCATTGCAATGGTTTCCTGTTAAAATAATATAAAATATTTCTGTAGTTTTTATTTAATGATTTTACAGAAACGTAATTTCACCCACTTTTACATAGATCCACATACTGTTCTATAACTACATCCCCTTGAATATTAGACTGAACGGCATCCCACGAAAGTACATTGCCCTTTAGTCCACATGTCTGTTTCGATACAAATTCTACTGGAAGTATCGTGTCCCATATATTCACCTAGAATATACAAAAATTAATTTTGTGATAAACAGCAAGGAAATAGTTTGTTTAAACAATAATATAATGCTTATAATAATCTTACCTGTGATATTACTCCAACAAATGGTTCTGAATTTAATATATGAATGTCATTTTGACCGAGAATCAAAGTGCTGTTTAACGTAGTAATTCGTTTCGATTGGAATGTTTTGTCATTCGTCACTTCATTTCCATCCCAATAAACGTATATTTTATCGATAGTCCCATCCCACATCAGAACGAAAGAGTGCCAAAAATCACTACAAAAATACATTTATTATGGAATATGTAAATTAATTTAAATATAGAAATTTAATCAAAATAATCTCAAATTTAATTTTAATCTGGTTTATTATCTGTAATAACTACAGAATGAAAACACAGGTCCAAATCGATAAACAATGTCACCACCTATTCGTCATAGTATGAACTCACTGTAATGTCTCTATAGAGATTGGGCGACGGATCTCAAAGGCGCTTAGAATGGACCCTTTCTTGTTACTTTTACATCAATAACACAAGCACAACGTTACATCGAATCATAATACTTAATAAACCATATACATACTGAATACACAAATGCGTATTTAAGTTTCAATTATGTATTGTACGTGTATGATTAAAATATGTGTTGTCATCAAACAATGTGGCCATTGTTTTTCTACTGTTACATTACATTAAAATAAATACCTCGTTGCGTGAGAAACAAGAAATGTCCTTTGAAATGCAACCAAAGTCACGTATGGAAAGCCACTCAAATCAAATCCTTCGGGTATAGAAGAATCTCTATCTTCGAATCTCAGTGAGAAAATTGCTCCTCTGTCCTTTACAATCCCAGATTTTGGAAATTTTACGAAAAAAGACATTGTCATTTCATTTAATGGAGGAATGTCTATCGTCACTAAATGCTTCTTTTCTGGGAATATCAGCGCGTACAGCATCCTCCTTTCTGAAATTGTATATTTTAAAAAAATTTAATTAATATTTGATTTGTTTTTACTAACGAAAAAGGTATTTTTTCTGCTGTAAAAATATTATTTTAACTGAATTCTAAATAGCAAACAGATTAGAGGGGACATCGCTTTGTTCGCTTCGCACTTATCGATTAGTTGTAATTTTTGGAACATTTTTGCTTTTTTTCAATAAATGCGTTGTAAAATACATTACACCTAAGCCACCACAAAGCTGTTAAGATCATAAATGACGTCATAAATGCCAGAATACCGAATGTATTCCCACACTTTAATTAAAGCGGCCGGCAGATATTCGCAACATCACCTTTGAACTTTTACCCCAATACTGACTGTTGTCGTAACAATTTTAAGTTTCTTTTGCATTACTAATGTACTACCGTTCTTGTCAAATAAATGAATAACACGGGAATAGTTTATAGTTTCTTGGCACCGTAAGCTTAATTCCAACAATAAGACACAAATTTAATGACATTAATACGTATGACAATAAGTGATAATTGACAATTTAATGTTCTATTTAAAGGGTAAGAGAATTGTAAAAATCTTCGTTACGTAGAGGAGATCGCTCTTCGGGGTGTCTGTTAATGGAAGTTTTACTGTATTATGATTTCTATTTGCCTCGATTTGTCACAGTGGCATAATTTACAATAAATGCTCGTTCGGGATAGAGAGGCTTATGGTATTCGGTAGTCTTTCGATACGTTACCATAAATTTGGAAATTTTGTGTACTAATACGTTTAGTGTTTGCAATCAAATATTTTAAACTTTTTAAATATCAATATCGCAATATTTAAAATAATTTACTAGGTTAATATTTTTTAATTTCTGAATTAATTTCAAGTGACGTGAAAGAATATGGCTCACGTTTAGCGCAATTTTTTCCAGTAAATTCCGGCTGACACTTGCATTCGTAGCGAGGAAAAGAAGGGATACAAATTCCGTCATTTAAACACGGATTCTTACGGCACTGATTATTTATTTCGCAACGTCTTCCGTCAAATCCCTTCATACAAACACATCTTTCGCTTCTTCCAACAACAATGCACGTTCCTCCGTTTTTACAATCATTTCGGAAACACGTTAATTTCTTTTCGCAAAGGTTCCCGGTATATCCAGGAGGACAACAACACGAATATTCCTAGAAATAAATGGTTATAATTAGTAATAACTACTGTATTTATAAACATGATAGTTCAGTGTGATATTCCATTAGTTTCCACAAAAAGAATACCTGTATTTTATCAATACAGGTCCCGCCATTTTGGCATCGATGGAATTCACAATCGTCTATGTTTTCTTCACAGAATTCACCTCGAAATCCGTTCATGCACCAACATTTAGCAGTACGTATGCTTGAAAAACATTTCCCTCCATTTAAGCACGTAACTAATAAAGCAATAGTTTGTACATTACCATCTAGCATTACGATTGTTTTAAAACATTATGTAAATATATCCATACATTTTCTGCATGTGCCATATATTTGGCAATATTGCCCCGTGAATCCAGGTTTACAAGAGCACAGGAAAGTTTTCTCCTGTTGATAACACTGTCCTCCGTTCTGACATTTTATAGGGCAATCATCATCTCTTGCAAATCTGTATATCGAGCAGTTGCGCCCGCTAAACTGAGGCCTACATAGGCATTTATAACCGTCCAAAGTATCGTGACACGTTCCGCCATTTTCACACTGGTTTTCTTTACAGGCTAAAAGATAATGTAATTCTTAATCACTAATTTTCTTCGATTAGTATATAAATGAATCATTTATACTTACAATGCTTTAACTGATGAAATTTTTTAGACGAATCATACTTTCCGACAGGATAGAAACTATTTTGATTCCATTCTTTAAGCGATCCATTGAAATATTTGGCATTTAACATTGTTCTAATCCTTTTAACATAATTTATTAGTAGATAAATCAAGAATGCAANTCGAATCTAGAAAATGTCCGCAATGCTTCTAAGTATATGAATCATGATTAAATTATGCTACTTTCCAATTATGTATCTCTTTTATATCTTAGACACTGTTAATAAATTACTACACTTATTTCTAAATAGTCTACTTCTGTATACTTTAAAGTAACAGTGCTCCATGTCCATTCCTTGCTTTTTTTTTAACAATGGAATATTTAAAGTGGCGTAAAGTATCCTCTCTCTGAGGGTACTTTGCACCAATTTTTTGGTCTGTAAAAGAACAAAGTAAGAAAGTGCAATACTGAGATTTGGTTAATGTTTCAGTAGACATTTCAAAGTAAATCTATAATAAAACACATTTATAACCCCAATATAATAGATTGCAATGGCTTCCGAAAAAATAATCAGAAAAATTGTGCAAAGTATCGTCACATTCAACTTATTATAATGTCTTCATGGTAAATCCATGCACAACATTCTAGATACCGGTAATTGTAGAACTCCCCTAGTATTTGATGAAAATGATTTGACAAAATGTATAACAGCCTAGCTTTGGTGTGACACAGAGCTGGATACTGGTAGCTATTTAGATTACCAATGCCACAATTACACTTACTTTTTATTCCAATGTCAAGATAGTAAAGGGACCCTAACCTTAATATTACTAGACTTAGTGCAATGCACAAAATAATGGAGTTCGGCATGCTTCAGATGGTGGTAGGCTACATATTTGGTAATGGTAAAAATTAATACAACATGAAGTTAGTGAGATAACTTGGGTGTTTTTCAGAATAAACATTGAAATTAGCATCAAGGATATAATTATTAAATATTTTTAAAATGTAATTACAAGTCTATAGTACAGTACATTATTTGCTCCTTGAAAATTCCAATCAATTAAAAATGAATGGTTCCCATAATTTACTTCATGTTAATTGGAACATCCATCTTAACTGTCATACAAAAAATAAATAAATCATACAGTGAAAATTAGTCTGTGATTTATATTCTTGACTCTAATTTCAATCTTTACACTAAAAAAATGATCTTTGGACATGCAATTTTAAAAATGGTCTGTCGCAGTGTTGAAATATTTACAAACTGAACAGCGTTTCAAATCTCAAACTAATTTTATTACACATTTTTCCACCTAGAATTTCATTCTGTGCGGATACATTTTATTTCGCAGTTGAAAGACGGACATCATCTTTTTCTCGGGATGCTTTTTGATGGTATCTATCAGCTGTCTGTCCACTTCGATCTGGTTTTTCTTTCGCTTTTCGTTCACGGTGTATTCCTGAAATCAATTTTATTATTATCAAATCATTTTACGTTTTTTAGCAGACAGAAAGCATCTCTATAGAAACTAAGTTTGTTTTGTCTGTTTTGAATGCAATAACACTATTCGTAGAAATTAATTTTCAGTGTCCATTTTGTTTTATTTCTGATTAATTTAATCAATAGTTGTTTCTTTTTAGCGTTTTTTACAAGTTAAAAATTTTTTATCTTTCTTTTTGCCTTTCCTATAAACAGAACTCACTGTATAACACTTAACTAATGCTAAACTTTTGGGTAACCATGCACATACTAAGAAATATGTTAAATCTAAAAGTAAAGAAACTATCCACACATAAATTTTCGAAACAGACAACTATACATTCTAAAATAGATTATTATTATAAACAATTTACAACTTACTCTGGTGATACAAATTCATGAGATAAATAGTGTTCTTTCAGGTAGAATTTTTTTGCTATAATTGTTGGTGGTTTTATATATGTGTATTTCTATCACTTATAGTATTATAATATATTATAATTTACAAATTAATAAATTAAACTTTGGGCGTAAACCTCACGAAACGCGATAAATTTGTAAAGCCAAATGACTACCGGTTTACATCGGGCAACTTTTCTACGATCATATTTAATTAATTATCTCATAATTTATCACTAGAGAGATGCGTCAAACAACATCTCATATTAGATTTAATAATTATAATTAAATTAAAATTTATTAAATAATTTTAAATAATCGAGAAGGAAAACATTCTTTGTCAAATATAACTTTCATAGTTGCCAAAGTATTAATAATTACACTTATATAGAAAATTTGGTTCCTTTGTTAGAGTATTATAACAAGAACAAGTTTCTAAAAACACCTCGCTAATGTCCAATTTAGTACTTGTTGCAATAACATAAATTTGATTGATTCGTTTTAAAGGATAGCCATTAACATTAAAGGGAGCTAAAATATTATTCAAATCACCATTAACTCACTCATTTGCATATATGTAAGCATGAAATGCACTAAATTTGAGAATTTTCACAGAAATGCTAAAATTTCTAGCAATTATTATCTTTTGTTACAACTAGCACATGCATTTATGGTAATTTGGACATTTAAATTTAAAGTAAGATTTGAAGTAGCAATCATACATTAAACGAACAAAAAATGTCAGACATTATATCTCACAAGTTGCATACGCTGTCAGGACAACTGGACTTGTGTTACGAAAGTAGAAATATAAACAGGGCAAGTCTCTCTCGTCTCACCAGATTTGTATCGTCTGACACTATAAACACATTTATAATGCTATTCACAACCCTGGATAATTGCAAATNCTAATCCTTTTAACATAATTTATTAGTAGATAAATCAAGAATGCAAGAAATGAACATTATGTCCTATTTATTACATGCAATACTTCACTAGTAACCATACATTTCGCATAATTAAAAGAAACTCACTCTTTGTCACCAATTTTCGCGCATAATTTCCATAACTTCACCATATTTCTCATATTGTCTATATTTTTCAGCATGGGCATCACAGAATTCGAATTCATCAAGAAACTGCAGTTACCATTTCCTTTACATTCAGTAGCAAAGTATAGAGATATCGCGGTAAACATGGCAACAATCCTTGTAATATTGCTATAAACCATTCTTTCCATCAATTTGCGTTGAAAGTCAACATTTAAAGTTGATTCATCCTCGAGTAAGACTCGTATTAACTACTTCAAATATGAATAGACAGGAATGATACTACAATTAATAAAATTAAATAATCGAAAATTATATTTATTGTTACGTTACATAATAGTTGTAACATTAATAACTAACTTTTCAATTTTTTAAAATTAATACGCGAGATTATCAGTTTTCTTGCATTACTGTTTTTTTCTTTTTAATGATTTGCGAAACGATAAATCACTTTTCAATAGCATAATAGAATTAAAATTAAGCTCAAACCATTAGCAAAATTTCCATTATCATAATGATACCGGTGAAACGTTCATTATATTAATTACATTTATAATTACTGTATATATAATCCATTATATTAAGAAATGACGTTGAAGTGTCTACTAGAGATGATCTTTCTGTTGCGATTTATTTCGAGTTCGCAGACGTGAAGACCTATTCTATTCAAATGTTAAATGAACTGCACGATAACAAGGTTTCTGCTGGTTTTGGTTCAATTATTGAAAAAGTTCAGATGGACAGGCCCAAAATTTAGAAAATTCGTTAAGTAATGTTTTGTCCAAACACCAACTAAACATTGAGTTAGCAAGTTAGTGGCAGTCCATAAATTACGTAATGTATTTTCGGGTGGGTGATATTAAGGATTTCTTACGATTTCTTACTCAGGGGTAGGTGGTAATAGAGATCGTCTTACGTAATATTCTTATTTTTATTTTTTTGATCTCATTGAGTTGTGGCGTTTTGAATTTGGCTTCTATTTGACAGTTTCTATTAAGAACGCGCGTTGTCTCGTAATAACGCTAGCAGATTCACGCTCTACACATTTTTATCGTGGGAGAAAGGCCGTGTGGTGGTTTCTCTCTATTTATTTATTATTATTTTTTTTTATTATTAGAATAAGTGCACCACTCCTATGGGTGTATAACACTAAGAATACATAAACCAAAATACATGATACATAGTAAACATAGTATTCCGTATTTAGTGAAAACTAAAATGTAAAACTAGAAATTATAAATAGACTTTTCTTCCATACTTTTTGAACATAATTGTAAAAAGCATCAAACAGTGGTTTCTGAACGAGCTTATCTAATGGATATGGCTATTTGAAACCAAGCGTAAAGATTTCTAATTTCAGAATAAGTCTATCTTCATTGTAAATTGGACAATAATCATATGATTGATGGTGCCTATGTTTTCTGTAGAGCAACAGCGAGAGGCAGTTTCTGCCCGGTTATACATCACCAGATAGCTTATAAAATTACCACAAAATAAAGTCATGCTCTTCTACAAGTTTTACTGCTCAACTACTTTTACTGATTCCACTTTTGCATAGCGTTGTCACGAATATAATTTTTAAGGTTGCAAGGTGATCGAGGGATGCGAGTGTAGTCCAAATCAGTGTCCTTTGCAGCTGACTTAACCTCAAAGTCGTCTTTTTCATTTCTTAGAATACCAGTATGGCCAACTTGGTAGTCAGCATCTTCTTCAGTTTGATAGATGGAGGTATGTGAGAGGTATCTGTACCTTCTAACATATTTNGGTGATATTAAGGATTTCTTACGATTTCTTACTCAGGGGTAGGTGGTAATAGAGATCGTCTTACGTAATATTCTTATTTTTATTTTTTTGATCTCGTTGAGTTATGGCGTTTTGAATTTGGCTTCTATTTGACTGTTTCTATTAAGAACGCGCGTTGTCTCGTAATAACGCTAGCAGATTCACGCTCTACACATTTTTATCGTGGGAGAAAGGCCGTGTGGTGGTTTCTCTCTATTTATTTATTATTATTTTTTTTTATTATTAGAATAAGTGCACCACTCCTATGGGTGTATAACACTAAGAATACATAAACCAAAATACATGATACATAGTAAACATAGTATTCCGTATTTAGTGAAAACTAAAATGTAAAACTAGAAATTATAAATAGACTTTTCTTCCATACTTTTTGAACATAATTGTAAAAAGCATCAAACAGTGGTTTCTGAACGAGCTTATCTAATGGATATGGCTATTTGAAACCAAGCGTAAAGATTTCTAATTTCAGAATAAGTCTATCTTCATTGTAAATTGGACAATAATCATATGATTGATGGTGCCTATGTTTTCTGTAGAGCAACAGCGAGAGGCAGTTTCTGCCCGGTTATACATCACCAGATAGCTTATAAAATTACCACAAAATAAAGTCATGCTCTTCTACAAGTTTTACTGCTCAACTACTTTTACTGAATCCACTTTTGCATAGCGTTGTCACGAATATAATTTTTAAGGTTGCAAGGTGATCGAGGGATGCGAGTGTAGTCCAAATCAGTGTCCTTTGCAGCTGACTTAACCTCAAAGTCGTCTTTTTCATTTCTTAGAATACCAGTATGGCCAACTTGGTAGTCAGCATCTTCTTCAGTTTGATAGATGGAGGTATGTGAGAGGTATCTGTACCTTCTAACATATTTTTGGCAAAATATGTCAGTTTGGAAGAAGATACAGATACTTGAGTCGACAAGGAGGGAGCTTTTGGACACATCTGTGTCGATATTAATGTCTGCGTGGTTATCCATGGAGGAAGCGGATGACACCAAATAATCTTGTTTACAGGATGATAATCAGAGATAGGGTAATTGCAACGTGGTAGCATACGAACAGCCGTAGATGGGAGTAGAGACCGTTGTTGAGCCTTGACGTTTCTAGTTATGATGTAGTAGTTCTGTAGTTTAGAACCTTTTCTACAGTATTTAGTGGCAAAGAAAGGAGCTCCGCTAGTATCAGAGAGGCATAAGTAAAATCAGATCTGCAGCACTTTGAAATTCTGACGTCAAACTGGCTTTGAAGAGAGAGTAATTTACTTGCTACTGACTTTTTACTAGTNAGAACAAGTTTCTAAAAACACCTCGCTAATGTCCAATTTAGTACTTGTTCCAATAACATAAATTTGATTGATTCGTTTTAAAGGATAGCCATTAACATTAAAGGGAGCTAAAATATTATTCAAATCACCATTAACTCACTCATTTGCATATATGTAAGCATGAAATGCACTAAATTTGAGAATTTTCACAGAAATGCTAAAATTTCTAGCAATTATTATCTTTTGTTACAACTAGCACATGCATTTATGGTAATTTGGACATTTAAATTTAAAGTAAGATTTGAAGTAGCAATCATACATTAAACGAACAAAAAATGTCAGACATTATATCTCACAAGTTGCATACGCTGTCAGGACAACTGGACTTGTGTTACGAAAGTAGAAATATAAACAGGGCAAGTCTCTCTTGTCTCACCAGATTTGTATCGTCTGACACTATAAACACATTTATAATGCTATTCACAACCCTGGATAATTGCAAATTATCAGAGTTTAACCTACGATCTATATTCTATACTCATACAAGTCTAACATGCAGCAGATACTGCAGCAAACTAAAAATGCTGCTATTATTTCTGTGATAAACAGCGGGAAAATCGTTTGTTTAAACAATAATATAATGCTTATAATAATCTTACCTGTGATATTACTCCAACAAATGGTTCTGAATTTAATTTATGAATGTCATTTTGACCGAGAATCAAAGTGAAAGTAGTATTAGAGAGCTTGCATTTAGTTTGCATAATAAGGTATTGCAATTCAAATGGCTGACGACACGTAAACATCATTACTAATGACTATTAATTGCTTTATGTAATCGAAACCAATTAACAGGTTTTCTTGCACTTGTCACGCTTCTTATGGAAGACTATTAAGCCATTATTAAGTGTAAGTTCTGTTATAAAATAAAAGATGTATTTGGAGTATTCAGGCTTTGCATCTATGTCGAAAATTTCGATATATCTCGATGAAACTTTTTAAAGTTTTCAACTTTTATAATTATATTTATGTGATGCACTCATTTCTCGTTATTGTAAATCTAAAGCACTGAAATCTTTACTACGTTTTGAGCAGAGTTTTCAATTAAAATCTATTTTATTCATCTAAATTTAAACTGTTTTATCTCGAATGTAACTATATTCCAGATTTTGTTTAATTATTATAAAGAAAAAAAATTAAAGTTGTATACGTTATGTGAAGTAAATAACTCCTAATATACTATTATTTGTATAATTTAAGCACGAGCCAGGTGTAAAAGGACTATTGTCACTTCAACTCTGAATCATGATTGTTTATTTATACTGTGCTCAAATGAATCTGATATGTACCATACTCACTACGTTGATGATTTTTTCAGTCAGTGTGTTTTTCTTTGCAGAATATAACTAGTGCTTTTATTATAATTACAGCGTATGAAAATTTTGTTTTGAACGTGTGAAACAAAATTCAATGAAAAACAACATTTTGACATTTCTCATGTGATGAACCAAAATATTGGAGTTAAAAAGGTAACAAGTTGCTAATAATTGTGGAAAATTGACAAAAGAGTATTTCAATTATTTTCACGTAAGACAATAATACCAATGATTAATTATCCTTAATTAAATGATAAGTTTTATTTTTCGTACGGTTAATACCGCTTAATAATCTTAGTTAATAAATATGATAAGAATCATCTCAAGCGTAAGTCCTGCAGTTGATAATCAGAAAGAGGAAATATGTTTGCAGTGTTTTCTCTCTTCATTTACTTCAATTTCAATGGTTTACGGCTGGAAATTTTTTACTCCTTGCTACTGTAACTTAAACACTGATGGTCGCTTTCGCAAACCTTTCAACTTTTACATCTCATTTATCGAATGCCTTTATTGCATGCATTCCATTTTTTTATATGTATGACAATTCCTTACATATCGAATGTAACTCCTTGCTTTTCCTGGTACTCGGTATTCGAGTTTGACATATACGTCAGAATATCTGTTGCGAGTATTACTTTGGCCGTGGCTGCAATATTTAGTATTGTCAAAAGAGTCAAACTGAATCCAAAAATACAATTAAACAAGTCAGTTCGTTTTCCTAAACATCAGTTACATGCTTTTATCAATACCCTACAACTTTTCGCAGTAATTATAACTGTTACTTTTACGATATTCGTTCAAAGTATATTCGCTTTTTTCTATTATCCTGCTTTAGAAAG